GCTTTTACCTAATTATAAGATTACCTATTTTCCTAGCTTCCTAATCACATTTTTAAGGAACTTTTGGGACCTAAAAGATTCAAGATTCTTAATTTTTACCTTCATTAAATGTACAGATTTACATTAAACACAAAGTCAATGCAACTATTAACATCTCATTCTAACTCCATGGGAAAAAAAGTCAGAGAGCATCTATAGTCTTTAATTTTTCATATACAGTGATTTCCATTTACTCCATTCCCATTTATTATACCATATGTGAGTACAAATTTTCAATCCATGTCTGGATTTAAAGAATTAGAAAACAAATATGCTTCACCCAGAACAATTTAACATTTTCCTGATGAATCGGAATATGCCTGCTTCTGGGTTATTATTATGAGTATCATGCTGGGCCTATTCTTGACGATAAATACTGGTTTGTTTGTTTTAAAGAAATCTCTTACATAAAAAAAATTTTCAGCTACAACAAATTCGATCAGCATCTAATCTCTAAAATCTACAAGATATTGTAAAACCTCAGCAACAAAAAGACAAATAACCCAATTAAAAAAAGGGCAAAGGCACTTCGCCAAAGAAGATATTCAGGCGGCTAGCAGACACATGAAGAAATGCTCACGATCACTAGCCATGAGAGAAATGCAGATCAAAACTACAATACGACATCATCTCACCCGAACAAGAGTAGCCTTAATCCAAAAAAACAAAATAATAAATGCTGGAGAGGTTATGGACAGATTGGAACATTTATACACTGTTGGTAGGAATGTAAAATGGTACCACTGCTTTGGAAATCAATTTGGTGCTTCCTTAAAAAGCTAGAATTAGAAGTACCATATGATCCAGCTACACAGCTCCTTGGAATATATTCTAGAGAAATAAGACCTGTCACACGAATAGATATATGCACATCCATGCTCATTGCAGCACTGTTCACAATAGCAAAAAGATGGAAACAACCTAGATGCCCATCACCAGATGAATGGATACACAAATTATGGTATAGCCACACAATGGAATACTACACAACGATAAAGAACAACAATGAAGCCATGCAACATCTTATAACATGGAGAAAGCTGGAGATCATTATGCTGAGAGAATTTAGTCAGTCACAGAAGGATAAATATTGGTAAAACTACTATTATAAGAACTCAGGAAAAGGTCAGAAGAAATCATACTTTGATGGTTACAAGGATGGGGAGGGAGAGGGTGGGTTATTTACTAACTAGATAGTAGATAAGAATCATCTTGGGTGAAGGGAAGGACAGCACACACTACAGGGGAAGTTAGCACAACTAGACTAAACCAAAGCTAAGAAGTTTCCTGAATACAATCACTTTGAAGGACAGAGTAGCAGGGGTAGGGGTCTGGGGACCATGTTTTCAGGGGACATCTAGGTCAACTGGCATAACAAAGCTTATTAAGAAAATGTTCTGCATCCTTCTACCCAAAGCAATTTACAAATACAAC